TAATTATTTATGACCAAGCCTGGCATGCCAAGGAGAGTTCGGCATTCTGGTTGCTCCAAGAGCTATGGATTCAAATCCTGTAGGGATTTTAACTTGATACAGACCATTGTGATTATGTCCGTGTAGAAGTGTTTGATTGTCTTGCAGGACTTTAATCAGAAAACCATTAGAGTCAAAATAAACCGAGACATTATTCTCAGATATTAGATTAGAAATAGATAGCAAATTATAAGAAAGAGAGGGAACATGAAGAATTTGTCGAAGGCGAAGCTTGCGACTAGAGTCTGGTTGAAGTAAAAGGCCTTGTCCTTAATTTTGAATCAATAAGGTACTATCGTTAGCTATGGAGACCGAATCGAGGCTGGAGTAAGGTGGTAGCTGATGGATGTTGGTTGTGTCGAACGTTAAGTGAGAAGACACCCCAGAGTCCAACACCCATTCAAAGGTAGAAGCATTTTGCTGTTGAACTGTGAGGGCTTTTGGATTCGAAGGAGGTGCATAAGAAAGATTGCACCTATTCCAACAATTTAATGTTGAATGTCCTGATTTTCTACATATTTGACATGTTGGTTTGGTTGTTGGAGCATGACCAGGAAACGAAGAATTGGAATTGGGTTGCGATCGACTGAAAGACCCCCGTCCGCAGGATCTTGTGAATTTGTCGCGATTGGAGGAGTTTCGATTTGAAAGAAGTGCAACGTTGTCAGGTTGTTGAAGATTTTCTTTGAGTTGTTCTTGTTGGAGATTAATCTCCTCCCTGCATAAGAGTGAGTAAAGAATGTCTAGGCTGATCGGGCTTAAGGATGTTCGAATAGCCACCATGAAAAGATTGTAAATGGTGGGAAGACCATTTAAGATGTAAAGAACTATGTCTTTGACATCCACGATAGATCCAGCGGTTGAAATGTTATCAACTAATATCTTAATTTGGGTGAGGTATTGTTGCATTAAACGATCCTTCATTCGTGTTTGATGCAACTCGTTCTTAAGTTGGATGACTAATGATCTATTTGTGGGTTGTGGTCTTCTTTCGAGCATTATCCAGATTTCATGTGCTGTAGCAAGAGTTAGGATGTAAGGAAGAACAGATGGTGATATTGTGGATAGAAGAGCCGAAACAAGATTTCAGTCCACAAGTTTCCATAGATTGTGATCGTTTGAAGATGTCTCCAGCAGACAAGAGGAGACACCGATGAGATGTCCACTGAAGCTGTTTGCAGAGAAATGTTGAATGATTTGGAGCTTACAAATCGTGTAGTTCTCGCTTGTGAGTTGTGTGCGGACAAGATTCTTTAGGTTGGATATAAGAAATTTGAGTGGCGCAGGAGGTAGAGAGACTGGAGGTTGCCGGAGTTTCAGTAGTGGAGTGTTGATCCTCCATTGGGAAGGGCAATAGTTGTTGAGCGAAATGGCTTTGATACCATAAAATGGTTCTTGAGCTGGACAGAACCGCAAGGGTGAAGTCAGGGAAAGAAGAAACGAAAAGGAGAGGAAAAGTAATATTGTATTCCTTAGTATTGAGACTATTACATACATATAGTTAGATAGGTCTATAAGGCTAGCTACACCCAAAATTGACAAGATCTTGAATACCGTTCAAAGACATAACGTAAATAAGTGATGACGTGTACAGGTGCTTCTAACACGATCTGCTTATTCAAATTTTAAAATACTAGCATCCTATTTTCTTGTTTAATTGTTTGTAAAATTCTTTAAATCGTCTCTCTTACTTGATTTATTTCTTAATAGGGGATTTACATATATGACACTTTATTTCATGCTATTTACAATTTATTCTGCAACCTGTCTTTAAAGCAAGAGACGGAATTTTAAAAATGAGCTATAAGACATCAACAACATATCTCTATACGTTAGATTAGCTTTTGTTTGTTGTGGTTCATCTGATTTGGCTTCATCTTGATAGATCTGTTAATGCCGTTTTGCTTCATCAGTTATTGGCTTATTTAAGGCATACCGCTCGATTGTTTTTGTTGCTAAAATATTGCAAAATCCTTTTTAATTGTTCAGCTCTTCAGCCCATACAAACATTCATAAAAGTAAGTTTTTTTTTTCTTTTGCTTGGCAAAGGATGAGATCCCCTTCTCTTGCATTTAAAGTTTAATTGTGCTACATTTATTTATTATTGATGTGGACCAAATCTATGATATGCTTAAATTTTCTTTTTCACAGACGTTGATTTTTCTTGGTTTGAAATGGAGAGGCGTCGTGAACTTAATTATAGCTTTTTTTTTCATTTAACAGTTTTTGCTCTCACCACTCCCTTGTTTTACAAAGGGTTCTTCACTCTCTCTCTCTCTCTCTCTCTCTCTCTCTCTCTCTCTCTCTAACTGTTTGCGTTCAACTGTATTATATAACATATGTTAATATAAATAAGCTGTTTCCCAAACCAAGAACAATACGACAAAATCAGAAAAATGGGCTGTCCTGAATAAAGCAATCTATTAAAAATAAAAAATCACAGAATTTTCCCTACACTGGATACATGCAGAAGTGATTCTAAAAGCGTCTGGTGATGCATGAAAAAGTAGGAACAAATTAAACAAAATTTAACACAAACTAAAAAAGCCCCAACATATAATATAACCAATCATAAGTCGTAAATAAAAAGAAAAACCTCATTATATAGTTGGCAAGACGCTTTGAACAAAACAGTAGAAATATATATTACAGAAGAAAAAGACAGCAAACATCGGTAGAAGTACAAGTAATAGAAGACCATAGGGGTCATATATACATATATATTTCAATCACTTTTCTGATTGAAATTTAAATTATTTTAATTTTTCAAAATAGCTAAGCAATTTGTCATCGTTGTATAAAGCAATCAATGAGAATAATAATATATGCGGCTTTTGTTTGTTGTGAGCCTTTAATCAAGCAATTAATGATGCAGCCAATCTTCATTGTAGATTTAAGCGAATATAGTTAAATTCTCAAATATTTACATATGTAATATATATTTTTATATGTGCTATTAAAATCTTAAAATTATATTATATATATATATATATATATATATAAATGGCTGACGAACGATGTATGATCAAAGGATTCAATATCAGCTATCCATTCAACCACTCCCTGTTCGCCCCGGATCTCACACATATTTACAAGCCATGCCACTCCAGAAAAATTATAAATAGAGCCCTCATTCTTCATAAGAGAGACTCAAATGAAAAGAGAGAAGAAGAAGGAAAGAAGAAGAAAAAGGGGAAAGGGAGAATCCTCTCCTCCTCAACCACCGCCGAAGTTCGTCCTGCTGCACGAACAAGCCGGGATTCTGCATGATATTCGGGTGAACGCAGGAATTCTTCCCAACTTCCACGTGATGCTGAAATTCTTCACAATTTGCAACAGAGTTCCCTCATGACGCCGAAACTCTGCCCAAGTGAAGCCGGAGTTCTCCTCTGCCACTAACAGACGTCGGACTTCTACCCGACGTCGGACTTTCACTCTTCGTCAAATTTCTACCCGACGCCGGACTTCTACCGGTTATCAGACTTCGCTGGACGTCTACCTAATGCTGTCCTTCTAATCTTCGTTGTCAGACTACAGTTTTTTCGACCTCCGTCGCCCGCCGATCGACTACGATCCTTCTTAATTACTTTGCCCACCGACTACAGTCTTTCCGACCTCCGTCGCCCGTCGACTACGGTCCTCCTAACTTTTGTTGCCCACCGAGTACAATCTTTCCGACCTATGTTACCCGTCGACTACAGTCCTCCTGACTTAAGTCGTCCACCGACTACAGTCATTCCGTCCTCCGTCGCCAGCCGACTACGGTCCTCCTGACTTACGTCGCCCACCAACTGCAAGCTCTCCGACCTCCGTCGCTTACCGACTACGGTCCTCCCGACCAAACGAACATGTAAATAATGATTCTTTGTATTCATATCACGTAATGTACTCTATAAAATGTACATCAAGCTCCCAATGAAGGGGCCTCATTTGTAATCGACTGCAATACTAGTGGATTCATTCAAATTGGGCTAGGCCCCGTGGTTTTTCCCCCCTTTTTAGGGGTTTTCCACATAAAAATCTTGGTGTCTCGTAAATGCTAGAGCCTCTCTCTTATTTGATCGCGTGCCGGATTTTCGTACAACGCTAAGACGATAAACTTTATATTTCTCTATCGCCGCGAATACTCCTGGACGCAACATATATATATATATATATATGAGTTATGACCATTAATTATATTTTTATGTCATTTATAAATAAAATGTTATAAACCTGAATAAAAATATTTAAATATCAGACATAAATTTAGTACAGTTTTAAATAGCTTAATCGTTGGAAATTTCAAGTCTCTAGAACGAGATCATGAGTTTGAGATATAACATATACATGAACAGATTTCCTATTAAATTCTCTCTTTTTCTTCTTTTTTTTTTTCGAAAATTGTAAATTACATTAAAAGAAATCAAAGCTATAACTATCATATCAATATTTAAAAAAAAATAGAAATATATTAAAATTTTAATTCCGTCTTCTTTATTTTAATCCCCCTGCTTTTGTCGGAATCCCATATTGTAAATCTTAGAATTCCTCCCAACTTAGTTTTGATCCAATCTTCTTCATATGCCATCCTTTAATTCGTACAATCTCTCTAGACTTTAACCTCATTCTCTTTCGAACATCGCCTACCCAAAAAAACCATATAGCGAAGCTTGATAGAAGACCGGAAAACAGGGACAAAGTATCTGCTGTACTAAAGACAATCCATCTCCTTACCCCATTCAATTCTCCTTCTATATATAAGGACCATTAGCCTTTTCCACCATTCGCAAAGCAAAGGGAAAAGCTCACTGAATCCTCCATTACAAATTGCTACCCTTAGCACGTATTTGACCCGTACTTTCAAGTGAAGAGGTTAGTCCGCAAGCAAAGCTCTTCTATCTTCTCCTCTTTTTCAATTGTCTGCAAAGCATTCCATTCAAGTGCTTTTATTTATTTTTCTTTCGTTCTGTTTGGAGAAGATGAGCCGTAACATAGGGAAGAGGACGAAGGAAGGGCTGAGGTTGAACTTGACTAGGGAAGGACCATCCAGAACGGCCGCGAGGCAGGAGCCATCACCAAAGCGGTCTTCTACTTCATCTTCGTCGCCGCCAAGCTCTTGCGTGTCGTCAGAGAATGAACAGAAGCAAGTGGAGAGCCCAGAAGCCAAATCTATGGTACTTGCCGGTTGCCCTCGGTGCCTCATATATGTCATGCTCTCAGAGGAGGATCCCAAGTGCCCCAATTGCAAGAGTGCAGTCTTACTTGACTTTCGCCATGGAAACAACATGGGCAAGACTAGCTAGTGCTAGATGATCCAATGCTTGCGATCTTTTTTTCTCCTGCTAGACTATAGTCTAAATTGTATCATCAGCATTTTATTATGGGATTCCTCTCCAAGTTCTTTAAATGATTCGACATATGCTTTCTATTTTATGTAGTAATATCCTGTGTCCTTTAGAATTATTATCATCTTTCACTTCTGGCCCGAGCCATTGTTATGAAAATATATGCAGATTAATTAGATATGTGGAAAGTGAATTTTGTCATCTACGCAAGTACATAAATTGTTTCGCTGCGTGTTCTGTAATCACAGTCAAGAGCATGTGCTAGTTTTGCGATTTCTGAAATGAGCTTCTGCATTTTGTACTGAATAGACGTAAAACTATGGAATACATGATGTTAGGTGACTATAAAAATTTTAGATATGTAAATTTCAGGATCTGGTATTAGTGTTGAATTTTATTGGGAAAAAAAAACTGTTTTTTGCGTGGGGACTAAAGGCGAACTGAGGTGCCCTTCATATATTCATCAAACAAATTATCTGCCTAAAAAATAATATTTAATACAATGAGCCGGCCACTAATATTTGCAGATCAACATAATATAGAATAATCCTAGATGAGACTACAACTGTTTATACACGTGTCAAGACAAAATAATTTATCTCACACTCAAAAATCTGTAGTGTAATAAGCCCATGGATATGATAAGCCTCTTACTCGAGGTGTTGTCAGCTGAAGAAGGTCGACCATATAGTCTAATATCTCCTTGGATGTCGAAAATGCAGCAATTGAGGCATTCTTTCGAATAATGTTTCCCCCCAAAAAAGTGATTCGAAAAATGCCAAACCCTTATTTAACAAAAATGACAATATGTATCTTCGCCGTCATAGATGGATCATTTGATTCAGTTATTAAATATGATTTTAAAGTTGTAAATAGCAAAATTATTTGATAAAAAAATTTTGTGATGTCAAAGAATGCCACAAAACTCTGTTGCTAATGACTTTATTCCCTTCTGATTTTTAGGGTTTAGGCAACAACACACGGCATAAAAGCATTTCAAAAAAAGAGAATTATAATTTCTTATGTAGCTCAGCTTAATTTCATGAGATAGAGTTTGGCTTCAATATTACAAATTTGATTCTAAAAAATTGGAACAATCCGTATGTCCTTTAATAGGGTTTCCTTTCCCTCTCATCATCACCTTCACCCCTTCTCGTTCTTGCTTGAGCTTGCTTCACCCACTTCCTTTGCTTTGCTTTTCTTCCTTTCCTTTAACCAGACGGCCTCAACTTAGTCCCTATCGTTGTACTGAATGGATCCCACTCATTTCCTTGCTCTTACACAAGTCCCATAAGCTTCTATTGCCCAACCCTCTCTGAACCAGAAGGGGCTTCTCACCTCTCAAGGACCCTCAGTTTCATCCCTTCTCTAGAAATATCAATTACTCTCTCGGATGAAGAAATCGAAGATTGTGCCAAGTACTGGTCTTCAGTTCTGATGGGATATGCAATCAGTGAGCTGCCTTTTTATGACAGCATTATTCCTGCCATTATGCAACTTTGGAAACTCAAAGGTGAAATTTCCATACTCTCCCTCTCGAAAGTTTTTTTTTTTCTTTTCAAGCTCTCTTGCCTTGAGGATTTGGATATGGTGCTCTTCGGTGGAGCTTTGTATATAAATGATTGGCAGTTCAAGTTTAAACACTTAACCCCTAATTTTTCTCCCAATAAAGATGATTTTTTGTGAAGTCCTAATTTCGGTGAATCTACAAAACCTACCCTCCTATTATTGGACTAAAACTTGCAACCCCACAATAGTTAGCAAAATTTGTTTCCCATTAACTGTCGACCTCTCACCAAAAATTGATTAAGGTTAACCTTCGCCCATGTGAGCATACAAATCTCAACCTCCTTTATTTTACTTAATGAAACATAGATTTCCGTTAGGGTTCTAGAAATTAAAATTCTATACAATATGAATGGAGGCCATTCCCTTGCTTTATATATGATACTTTTGGTCATGAATCCCATTCTTGCATGAAATCTCAAAATCCCAGAAACCCCATAATTCCCATTACCACTGCCACTCAATGACATAGAGGTTGAAGTACCAGCAGGAAACCACACCATACTCCTTTTACCTACCAAACTTTACCACGCAACCATACCCCTACTTTCCACTCATAATTTTAAAACTTTAATCATACTATAGTACTATTTTTTCAGATACCAAATCATTCTTTATTTAGTAAAAACAACAAAAATTTTAAACCATTGGTATAATTTTTTTAGAAATTAATCAAAATATTCATAATCTTAACAACTATAACATACAAAAAGTTAAGTGGTGAAAGTCATATTCCTACAAAGTTATCTTTATTTCTCGATAATAGAATTATAATTTTAATTATAAAAAACAAGAATTTTTTTTTAGTTTTGGAAATTGAGATCACTACAGGAAAACCCGTTATTACCGGCGGACACAATCCGCCGGAAAACATAGATAATCCGACGGAATCATACGTTTCCGTCGGACTTTTCGGCGGAAATTCATACGCCTGTTTTGGCCGCGTCGATAAATTATTTCCGGCGCGAAATTTGCGTCGGAAATTTTTCCGGCGCATGATCCGACGAATTACCGGCGAAAAATCGGATCGTTTTCGACGTTGAAAAACACCTTAATTCCGGCGCCATTTCCGCCGGTAATTATCGTCGCATTATGCGCCGGTCATTACCGGCGGAAATGACACCGCAAAGTGCATGTAGGAAACCCACGAACTCTCTTGCGACGCAAAGTATACGCCGGTAATTACCGGCGGACTGTGCGCCGGTAATTACGCCGGCAGTTTCCGTCTGAACAAAGGCGCCAGAACACACGATACGATTCGTTGTATCGTCGTTTCCGGCGAACTTCTGGCACAAAATCCGCCGGAAACCTATAGCATTGACAAAAAAAAAATTCCTTCTCAGCCAACAATTAAATTTCCACACCTGCAAACAAATACAAATAACAATTCCACCATAATTCAATTATAACTTTACAACATATCAACAATTTTACCACAGTTTCACAACAGTTTATAACATTAAAAGAAACAGTTCAGTACTAACAATCAACTAAACACATCACATTAAAAGAAACTGTTCAATAAAACATGTTCACAGAAATAAACAAGTTCATATAAACTAAATTAAACTACTCTGACTCCGTGGACTCCTCCTCAGGTGGAGCTACCTCTTTTCCACTCAGCTGCTCCCTCATCTTGCGCATTTCATCCAACAACTGATTGTGTTGCTGAATACTTGTTTGAACCTGTGCTTGCAGCTGAGCCTGCCAATCAGCTTGTGATTTCCTTACTTGTTCTAGCTCATCTTGAAGGGCACTTATTTACTGAGCTTGTAAGGAGTCATGCGAACTGGATGCGAAGCTAGATGCAGTAGAGGATGTCATCCCCTCGTATGCCTGAGCTTGCACACCTAAGCCAT